GGGAGCTGCTTTTGGGATGCTCAGCTCGGGATTCAGCTGCCGGGACCAGGGGCAGGCAGGACCCCAAATTCCATGAGGAACGTCCAGCCGGGAGGAATTGCAGCAGCTCCTCTGTTCCCAAAAAGCGGTGTCAGATCTGATGGGGCTTCTCCCACGTGGACACCCCACGGGGTTTTGGGAAGAGTTTTTATCCATCCTGGAAAAAGGGTCCAGAGGAGATGCTGAAGTGGAGCCAGAGCTGGAAGTGCCCAAGGTTGGATGGGGCTTGGGATAGGCGAAGGTGTCCCTGCCCATGGAATGGGATGAGCTTTAAGATCCTTCCAACCCAAACCTCCCGGGAATCCGAATTCCATGGAAGCCTCGTGTTTTGTTCCCAACCAGGTCTTGGGTTATTACAACAGGAGAGGAATCAACCCCGAGGCCTTTCTGAACGAGATCAAATTCATCGCCAGCGACCCCGACGACAAACACTTCTTCAACGTCACCGACGAGGCGGCGCTCAAGGACATCGTGGATGCTCTGGGAGAAAGGATTTTCAGCCTGGAAGGTGAGGGATGCTCCCCCCGGCACGTCCCAGCGCTCGGAATGTGCTGCTGATCGTTTTTTCCCCCAATTTTGGACGTGGCTTCCACAATATCTGAGCCTAACAATCCTGCTTGGAGTATCTTCAGGTTTGAGGGGATGTCTTTATTTGGAGCTTCCCTCAGGAGCAGAGATCCCCTTTTCCAAAGGGCACACCTCGTTCCGGGCAGCGGAATTCTGGTGGCTTGGATTTTCCTTTTTATAGAAAACCTTGGAGATTTTGGTATGGGGGGAATTTGGGCGTCAGCGTCTTCCTCATCCATCCAATTCCAGGGCTGTAAACAGGAAAACCCACACACAGGAGCTCCCTGGGGTGCCAGACATCAGGAGATTATGGGAATAAAGTCGGGATTTCGGGTTTGTTGGCTGAAATGAAATATCAGGAAATATTTCTGTCTTAAATGTCAGCTCTTGTGACAACTTTGTTGCTCTCCCAGACTAAATTTATCCGAATTTCAGGAGAAAAATGCAGCCTGGAATGAACAATTGGAACAGAAATGGAGGGCTCACACTGGGAATGAAACATCCTGAATTTGGGGGATTTGGGCTCAAATCAGCTCACAAATTCCCCACGAGTTTCCCAGTTTTCTCTGTCCAGCTTGGAGCTTCCCTGTGGAAGTTGCCCTGGATGAGGAATTCCCCCAGTTGGAATTATGGAGCAAAAACCTCCAAATCCCCATTTTTGGGGGATCTTGCAGCCCTGCAAGGGGAGAACTGGAATGGCAGCAGAGCTCCCAGACCTCCTAACAGCACGAGGGTGTGGAACTGGGGAATTTAGGGAGAAATGGGATCATCAGGAGGACCTGGAGCTGCTGGAGCAATTCCAGAG